TCTTTCTTTATGCTACTGCTGGACTTCGCTGGTTGCCAAGTTCAGAATCAGAATGGCTTCTTAATAATGCATGGTCAATTCTGAAGAGATCACAGTTTTTGTGCAAGAGGGAGTGGGTTAAGATTATCACTGGAATGGAGGAAGCTTATTATGGATGGATAGCTTTAAATTATCACATTGGTGTACTGGGGGTTATGCCTAAAAAGGATACATTTGGTGCACTTGACTTGGGTGGCTCGTCATTGCAGGTTACTTTTGAGAGTAAGGAAGGTGCCCTCGATGAAACTAGTTTAAAGCTAAGCATTGGCCCTGTTAACCATCATCTCAGAGCCTATTCTCTATCAGGATATGGACTTAATGATGCGTTTGACAGATCTGTAGCTCATCTTCTCAAGAGGCTTCCTCGGATTTCGAATGCAGATTTGGTTAGTGGAGAGGTTGAAATTAACCATCCCTGTTTGCAGTCTGGTTACAAAGAACAATACATGTGTTCACATTGTGCTTCTGTCAACCGAGAAGGTGGAAGTCCTATTGGAGGAAAAAAAATGGGTGAAGGATTCAGGGCTGCTATTCAGCTCGTTGGAACTCCAAAATGGGAGGAATGCAGTGCACTAGCAAAAGTCGCTGTTAATTTGTCTGAATGGTCACATCATAGTCCGGGAATTGACTGTAAGCTGCATCCATGTGCTCTTGCAGACGATAAACCTCGTCCTTCTGGCCAGTTTTATGCTTTGTCTGGCTTCTATGTGGTGTACCGATTTTTCAACTTGACTTCGGATGCACTACTGGATGATGTTTTAGAAAAGGGTCGTGAATTTTGTGAAAAGTCTTGGGATGTTGCCAAAATAAGTGTTCCTCCTCAGCCTTTTATAGAGCAGTACTGCTTCAGAGCACCTTATTCTGTGCTTCTTTTGAGAGAAGGATTGCACATTCCTGATAACCATGTAATTATTGGTTCTGGAAGTATTACTTGGACACTTGGAGTTGCTTTGTTGGAAGCTGGAAAGGCATTTCCAGATAGGATAGAATTTCACAGTTACGGATTATTCTGGGAGAGAATAAATCCAGTTTTTCTTTTTGTCATTTTATTGGCTTCGCTGTTTGTCCTAGTTTGTACATTATCTTGCGCTGGCAATTGGATGCCAAAATTCTTCCGAAAGCCCTATCTCCCATTATTCAGGAATGGTAGTGTAACATCCTCATCTGGTCTCAATATTCCAGCTCCTTTCCGGTTTCAGCGCTGGAGTCCTATAAATACAGGTAAATGTCATTTTTCTGAATGTAGAAACAACAAATTTATATCTGCACCTTCCTGAGACTTGTTTCACTTAGATATTATCTGAACTATCACCTGATTGTGGTGTTTCAGCAGAGGGAAGAATTAAGATGCCATTAAGTCCAACAACTGCACGCACTCAGCGAAGACCATTCGGTACTGGGCTTGGTTTCAGTGGTATTGGCTTAGAGCTCACTGAGCCTTCCTTGTATTCATCATCTAGCAGTGTTGAACATAGTTATTCTTCAGACAGCTTAGGGCAGATGCAATTTGACAGTGGTAACATGGGTTCATTCTGTGCCCCACATAGAAGTCAGATGCGTCTACAAAGCAGGAGATCCCAATCTCGAGAAGACCTTAATTCTTCATTTGCTGAGGCATACTTGCTGAAACTCTAAAGCTGCTTCTGATTTTGGTTTGCCCTGCTCATCTATAATGTTGTTGGACAATTGGCAATTGTCATTTACTCCGAGTTTCGAAAAGGAAATTTTGTTGAAACGGAGAATGTTATATCTGATTGTGTTCTCTTCATCAACTTCTTGAATGTTGAGTTGCTCTGAAAGTGGTTGGACATGGTTATTCCGGGCTTCCACTCAACTATTTTGAAAAGACGCCCATGTGTAAGAGGAAGTGGAAAATTTATTAAAGAGAAGCTGGATAAGTGGAGTTTTGAACGAACTTTGTGGTCAAATTTATTGCATAATCTAAAGCTCCCGAACTTTGAAGCCATTGTAGCTGCCTTCAACCGAGCTTCTGCCAGCCAGTGGTTACTGAAATCTTCAGAGTCAGATTGATTTGGAACATATGCCAATGCTACCTTGCTGCTCTCCCCCATCTCTAAAGGGGCTTACTTACTCCACTTGATATCACTGAAAGACACAGCCAAGAGCGGAAGGAGGACTCGAATCCTTTCAGGTCATTGAGGTTTTAAACTTGGTTGCGCTCTTCCAGTTGACAGATTCCTTGGGAAAAAGAACGCCTTGAGGCATAGGATTGTACCTGGACTTAGAAATGCAAGCTCTGTTTCCCAGTTTACATATTGCTGGTGGATTCTCTTAAAAAACAACATTCCAATTCAGAATTAGAAATAGGCGTATTACATATTTCTTGTACTCAATTCCATGAGATATTTTGATGTGTTTTATCGAGATCACATTGGTTCTACAGTGAATATAAGTTTCTTTTATGTACATGTCTCAATTATGTTAAATATTCATTCCCTTAATTTAATTTCAACCTTCGCCGCCTCTTGGCTACTATTGACATTTCTCTTTTAACAATCCAAAACTAATAATCATAAAATAGAGGAACTGTAATAACTTGAATACTTCAGAGCTGGAAAATTGCAGTCGTCCTACTGAACTTTTTTCTATTTTACACTACTATCCCTAATCTTTATTTAGCATTTATTATCCCCAATATTTCATTTTTTTGGTGTTCATGGTCCATAATACAATTCTGTTCCGAAAATTATGGGTGTTAATGTATAGGAATTTTATAAGCCAAAAATTAACTGGTGGTTATATAGCTAACAAAGTTTTCTTTTATTCTGTTGCTTTTTATTTGAGCTAAAGGCTCTTGATTATCACATTTTAAATTTGTTGTTGAAGTTCGAAGCCCAAAAAAAATGGAAAAAAAATCTATAATAGTGTGCAATTCTTAATCTAGTTTGGTCAAAAATTGCCTAGGAGTTTCACTAAGATCCTCGAATTTTATTAGAAAATTTTAAAAATTAAGAAACTTTTCCTTATTTGTGACATGGTTCATAGAGTTTCGATTTTCAAAAGGATAAATATACACTTTCTAACAAATACTACGAAAAATAGGGACAAAAGAGTGAAAAATCTCTTTTAAAAACTCAACGTTAATTTAAATACACTATACACACGCTTTCTCTGAATTTCGGATTCAAAGCATTATTTTCGATTGTCCACAATATTTTCGCGAGAAGAATTTTCATTTTCTTGTCCTATTGAAAATGAAGATGATATCATATTCTCCTGATACCAATTTGTCGAAGAAAATACGAGATTATAGGCATATTATGAAATGAAGATCACAAAAGCATAAGAACAATGTAATATGTAGAGAATATATACTTTATTATATGGAGAAAGATTATAAAGAATTTGTATTTATGATTTGTCTAATTTAATTTAAAATACAATTAAGAGCTAAATATATATGTGGGAAGGCTAAAACCGTATATGTGGAAACGAATGCTTAAAACACGTCAAAACGGGCCCGAGCCGGACAACACACTGCTCTAGCATTGATGGGACATATTGTCAAATCCCATCAATGTGTCGTCTAAATCCATCTGAGTGAATACCGTCCGTATCTCTACTTGCCAAAAAGAGAATCTTGTATTGCGATGTAACAGTTGAATATCATAATTCATAGTTGTCATCACGAAAGATTGAGTTGAGCTTTTAACTTGATCAAAACCTCGGTCTCCTAAGAATTTTCAAGCATTTGGCTCTAATATCAATTTGTTGAAAACGAAGATGATATCAGATTTCTTTGATACCACCAATTTGTTAAAAAAATACGAGATTAAATGTATAATATGAAATAAAGATCACGAAAACACAAGACCAATGTAATTTGCAACGAATTGAGATTTTATTATAATATGGAGAAATAATATAAATATTTTGTATTTATAATTTGTCTAACTTAATTTAAAATACAATAAAAAACAATNAAATGGGCCTGGGCCGACAACCTGCATTTTGAGAGCCAAGAGGGCCCCAAGTAGGCAGCGTGGCGCTGACTCTCGGGACAGAATTGTGACGACGTTGCTCGAGAGGTAGGCTAATGAAAAAGCATCGAAAATCTCTCTACGGTCCATATGAGTTTTGGAATTGCAAATTTTTTTGGAGAATGCGTTGTTAAAAAATAAAAAAAAAAAGTTTTGAATTCACGTGCAAAATATTTTATTATGAGAATGTATGGTTGAAAATGAGTTTTAAAAAAATAATTTAATACTTATCAAACAAGGTGTAAAGACAAATGTCTTTAATCTTTGCTCATTATTGTGCTTGTCTTCTTAATTTTTTTCCATGGTATTTTTATACCAAACTTTCTATTAATTAGCATATTAATTCAAATGACGTAACAAAATATTTGAACAAAATAGTCATTAAAACGATGTGAGCAAGTTTTGACATATTGATTACCGTAGTGTTGAAGATTATTTGACAATTTCTTTTTTATGGCGAAGTTTGGGAAATTACTCGTTTTGAAGAGCAATCACGGTAAAGGGAAGTTTAGATATATTTAGATTGTTACACGTACTAGTGAAGTGGTTGGCGCAAAATTATTAAATTAACATATATGATATACCATAATCATTTCGTTTACAAATTTATATTGTTCAATTATGAACTATTTATCCCCTTGTCTGGTTTTGTAAAAGGTATCACGATTTTAGTAAATTTTAATAAAAATTGATGAAATATACGTTGAACAAGGATCCATGAATGTATGATTTAAAAAGAGTGCGAGAAAATTTTATTTTGTTGTAGTATTTTGGTTTTATATGGTGACGTCATTTGGTGGAAAAAAAGAGTAAAAATTAGGGTCGCATAAATTTACCCGAAAATCAGAAACCCTTGAAAGAGTTCCCCATTCTGCGAGTGCCTCCCAACTCTGTCGCCCCATACAAAATCCCAATTCCCAGAGAGTAGAACCCTTATCCCTAACCCCCTTCTACAAATCCATGGCAACTGGGCCTAATCTGGAATGCCGGATGTATGAGGCCAAATATCCTGAGGTGGACATGGCCGTGATGATACAGGTGAAGAGCATGGCGGACAGTGGTGCGTACGTTTCACTCTTGGAGTACAATAACATCGAGGGTATGATCCTATTCTCGGAGCTGTCCCGCCGTCGAATTCGTAGCATCAGCAGTCTCATCAAGGTGGGTCGGATCGAGCCAGTCATGGTCCTTCGTGTTGACAAGGAAAAGGGCTACATTGATTTAAGTAAGAGGAGGGTTTCTGAGGAGGATATTCAGGCTTGCGAGGAGAGATACAACAAAAGTAAACTTGTGCATTCCATTATGCGTCATGTTGCTGAGACCATGAATATTGATTTGGAGGTAATTTTTCATTCTTATTTTTATGAGTTTTGGCTGTTGAGTACTTATTGTAAATTGCTCTGATAAGTTTTGGTGTTTATTGTTGATTTTCCTTTCATTGATCGATGAAGATCCTATGAATTCTGTGGTAAGTATTGGAATGGGTGTCAGGTAAAAAAACATATATCTTATGAATTGTTAGATAAAATGCCCTGGATTAGTCATAACTGGGTATGTTAAAGTTTTCCATGAATTTTTTAGGATGAATATGTGTAAATTTATGGTTACTTTAAAGATGGATAATATGGTGTAATACACATAGATGTAGAAGTGGTGGAATTCAAGGTAGACACTTATAAGGAGAGAATGGATGGAATGGCACCCCAGGATTGCTTTTGTGATGAAGATGAGCTTGATTGACTATAAAATACTGTGGAGTGAGAAGGAGTTGTTCGTAGTTGAAATCATTTATTTTTCTTGAGTATCAACTTAAAGGACTGTTTTTAATCGATAAGGAGAAGATAAAAGGCTAGGTTTGGATTTGTTATCTGTTAGAAGCCTTAATCAACTGTCAATGGCTAAGCCTGATTCTTACCAATGGGATTCAGATATGAAAAATCTATGAATCTTATGAATTAAGTGGGAACAATGCGAAAAGTCAGTGGATCAAGTGAAATGGACTGAAATGAGAAGTAAAGAAACTACAGTAAATGGTGGAGTATAAAGAATTTTCTATGTGCCTCTACGTATATTCATGTAATCTCTATTATATTAGTAAGTGAAAACATGCTTGAACAATGATAAAGATGTGAAACTCGTAAATTTAGCAAATCTACTGTATTTGACATGAAATTTCCAATTTATCACGATTTTCAATCATGCTTCCATTTTCTGTACTTCCATACATCCCAACTTTAGTATTCTCATAATTCTCTCTCTAGTTCCTATTTATGGGCGTGATTTTCACATCATCCATATGTCATTCCTGGAAAATCAAAGGCTAATAACTCCCAGCTAACAATTAATGCGTCAAATGATGCAGGAGTTTGTATAATATTCCCCTATTTGACCACCATTAAAATGAGTTCTTTTTTTTTTTTAACATAAAAAAAACTGGGTTTATGTGCAGGATATTTTATAGTGAGAATATGTCGTTAAAAATGAGCTTGATAAAAAAAGAGAGTATTGTTTTAATAGTTGTCAAACAGGGGCTAAGCCTGCATTTTGCTGTTTGATTATGGTAAGTACTAGAACCAAAGAAACTAATTCTTAGAGAGCTTCTTTTATAGAAATAGAAGAGTGCCACAGGCCTCGAGTATGTAGTTGCAGCAAGTCTTAAGTATGTAAGGGGAGAGTATGGATTTCATTTGCCTTTCTTCCCTTTTCTATTGACGTGAGTTGGTGAGACAAGGTTGCCTTCTCGTCCAAAACTCTACATAGATAAGAATTTGACTACTAGAAGGTGATAGCAATTGCTGGATACTTCAAATGAATTCGAGAAAAGTGAAAGTAAATTATGTCTCTTATTTGGATATTCATAGGATCGTTGAATTACTATGCTTTTACATATTATTTACCTAGATACGAAGAATTTTTTTCCATTGGATTGGTTTGATTTCTCTAGACAAATTTTCCCAAAAGACCTCCAACTCCTCTCTCCTCTCTCGTACTCTCTCTCTCTCTTGCTTGGAACATGGTGGATATGGCAAGAGAATATATCTGGTTTAACTTCAGCCTGCCCTGCGTTTGTTGTGAGCATAACTGCAAAAGAGAGAATGATATGGAGTTTCTTGCATGTGAGCTTTTGTGTTATGGACATGACAATAGAACAAATTGGTGTAGCTTTAGCCTAACCTGAAATTCTTGCTAGTGCAAGTGGCATGGATTCACATGCTTGTGCTTGTGCGTGTGCGCACTCATGTATACGTGTGCAAACACAAGTGAGCACTGACTGAGAATTTTACGAAATCACTAATTCAAAGCCTGCGAACATGAGAGGAAGTTTTCTGCAATATAGAATTCGTGTTTAAGTTGACGATATTATAAGTTGGTTATGGAGGTTAAATGTTGTTCTTTTAGGAAATTGGAAAATATGGAGACAGTCTAGTTTTGGAAATTGATGAGCGGGAAATGGCATGTGGCTACACAGAATCTGCTACCTCTTGGATCTTCGTTTTGTTTCTTTTTCTTTTTGCTGCTTAGCAGTCAAAAGAAAAAGGAAAATAAAATGAAGGGAAGGTGATGGAATCATCTTGATCAGAAAGAGGTTAAAGAAAGGAAGTCTATTTGTTAGTCTGGCTTCATATGTCTGAAGGAGTTTCTGCATCTAGCCACTGCATTTCTGAGGAAATAATATTTTGATATGGGAATTAACATCCTTTGATGATTTATAGTAAACACGACGTGTTTCTGATTTAGTTTGGTAACAAATGTTGGTTACTTGTCTTTCCACAAGCTTGTAATATATTTGATTGTCTTCCAGAAGTAGGTTGCTGTGTTCACCTTAATGAGAAAAAAAACAAAATTGTTTGTGTTTAGTTAACTAATCCACATGCTATATGCAGAATTTCAGTTACCAACTATTTTAGGATTATGGGGAAAAAAGATCTTTTTTTTTTTTC